GACCTCCATAGGCTCTCTCCTTTTACTCTGTATGTTCTGGGGATCAAACTCAGTTCATCAGATTATCTGTTGAATCATTTTGCCTGCCCAAATAAGAGAGATCAGGCTGCTCCTCAGGTGCAAGTCACGGACGAGAAGGAAACGAGAGGAACGTGGTGTCCTATTCGTACACACACATGCAAAAGACATTGGATTTGAGTCCTATGTGAGCAGCCATGGGAGTGATAACGACAGTAAGTCAGACTTACTAGAGCTCAACATTGCATTTGCTGCTACATTCCATGGTCATTATGAAGAATGCTTCATGTTTATACCAAACTCAATCCTGAGGGCTGGTTTCTGACTATGATTTCATAGGTCAGCAATGGATATCCTCCTCATTAGTTTCCACCTTATTCTTTTGAGACAGGAACTCGAACTGAACCTTGAAATCACTGGTTGACAAGACTGGGTAGCCAGTGCACCCAGAAGTGGGATTATTAACATTTGTGGTCATATCTGGGTTTGTATGTGTGTGTTAGGGATCTAAACTCGTGTCTTCATGCTTTCAGAACAAACACTTTACAAACTGAGCCACTTCCTTAGTCCCAAATCACACAGTCATCAAGAAGGCTTAAGAGTGTCAGATCATATTTGAGAAAATGAAGACTAAAGCTAACAAATCCATCTTTCTAATAGATTTGAAGAATCATGTAGTAGCCTCACCCTGCTGGTCTCCGTCACTTCTCGGGATTAAGTTTTTATTAGTCTGACTGCATCAGGTCTGGGATATTTAGGAAAAGAAAATTTTGAATATTATTTTTTCAAATGTAGGCACAATACTGTATTTCATATTTTAAACAGAAACTGCCGCAAATTAAGCGCTAAAATTTATAGGCAGCTAGAAGAGCCCAGGGTTAGAGTACTTGCCTGGAAAGTCCAAAGTTCTAAGTTACACCCTTAGCACCACAAAAAACAAATGAAGATTGCAAGTTGTCAGAATCATTGTTTTAACACAGAAATCTTTTTATTAAACCAAACAAAAACAGAGAAAATTATACCAGCCCTCATTTTTTAAAATTTTCATTAAATAAGCAAACTCTAAATTCACACCTTTAAAAGATGTTTGCGCATCTATGTATTTCCAAAATACTCATATTTCAATAAGATTTTCACATTATATTCACCAACAGTATCACAAAATTTCTTTTTTTTTGTTTTTTTTTTGTTTTGTTTTTTTGTTTACGTAACTGTAAGGAACAATAATTCTAGAAACACTAGAAGAAAAAAAGCATAGCAATGTCCACAGTTACAAGAAAAAGTGCACATTACCCGGTCACAATCACAGTCAGTACTTGGAAAACTATATGTAACAAGTATGAAAGGAACACCACTGATGCCTTCAACTCATTACAAAAACTGAATGACATAGATTTTACACAAAATAAGGCAAATTCAAGAATGCACAAAGAATTCGTAATTCAACCAAAGCTAAACAACAGAAAAGAAAATGGTACAAGCATGAAATAAAGAATTTCTTAAATATTTTAAAAATAGGCTTGCTTCAGTGCAGAGAACACCACTCAGTGTGTCTAACACTAGCTAGAACTAGAGAAAAGAAGGGCAGAGCTTGGGAGACAGGATGAGGAAAGTTCATTGTAAAGTACAGCTCTATCTGCTGAGAGTTCTCGATTTTAGCAAAAAAAATTTTAAATTACACAAATCATATCAGGAGATATAATAGCCTTTTCTGGAAACTCTTTCCAAAAGAAATGAAAAGTACACACGAGAGTGCAAAGTTTAAGATTGTCACTTGCAACCTCATAACATTCAGTCATCTACATCCAGTCGCTGCTCTGGAGGGCCTCTTGTGGGACAGCGGCACCACCAGGGGCGAGCAGCTCCAAAGCAAGCACATTGTGCTGGGTTTTGTTTTGTTTTTTCAACACTTTGTCTTTTTAGAATGTTTAGAAAATTCTGTGATGAAAACTGCTGTGGTAAGCTGCCGTGTGGGGGACTGGCATAAGTACAGAAATGCAGGCATCTCTTGGAAGTAGTTCCTGATGGGACGGCTTAAAGAAAGTAGGCAAAGGGTTTTTTCCAGCATTGAGTGTTGGTGTTTTTGTAGAAAGAATTTGGAAAGAGGAGAAGGCAAAAGGGATGTGGTAAGGGTACTTACAGTAGATTCTCAAAAAACAGTTTTCTTTTAGGACCTATGAAAAAGTTACCAAAGTAAAAATGACCATTTTGAATGAAAAACAAGTATTCTTTTTATAAAAATTACATTTTCTTTTAAAATACAAGATCCCTTTCATTGTTGTCATATCCTGTAGCAACAAGAAATTTGGCTTTTTGTTTTCAGATACTTCAGCTTTTGGTCCAATGAGTCAGTAGAAAATTCCACTAATATTTCAGTTGGATCTTGAGCTATTTTTTACATACCACAAGCTTCTTCATTTTTATCCTTGAATTCAGAATATTCAGCCTTTTTAAAAATTTGCTTATGATATTTATGTTGACACACTAAAACAGAAAGCAACAGGCTGGGCACAGTTGAGCAGCAAGTACTTCAAGGCCAGAGTCCCTTTGAAGCTTCTTAACACACCAGCGTTTGGATGAAGGACGAGGTGGCATGATGGAAGTGTTTCCCTTAAAAGATTGTGCAGCAAGACCAGGGGTGTCTCTGCTGGGAAATCAAGTGTCATTAGTGGAAACTGCAAATTTAGAACTCCGTGAATATGACATCCTTGGCCTCAGTTCTGTTGTAAAATGAGATTTTCCAGTTCATCTGCAGAACGCAATAAAAAGGCAGCAGATTCTCGATACCCCGCGACAAGCTGTCTCACAGCGTTGATTTCTGTTGGACTCAGCTGAGGTCTGGAGTTTGAACTGCTAGAGGATCCTGAGCCAGTCGCCAGCTGCCTCTTCATGCTGAGATCCGTGGGTCCTAGACAAAAAGAATCGCAGAATAAGACAGAAATAGTATTTTTCTACCATCATCCATATGAGCACCCATCAAATTACAATTGAATTTATTCATGAATGCTGTCATGAGACACTCATGGTCTCTATAATCAAATGCATCTGCTCTCTGGAAGACTAAAGAGTGGTATGATGGGATGTGGGTGTCTGAGTAGTTTTTCAGGTATCTTGGGCAGCATCCAGTCATCACTTCCTTGTTATAGGGAAGACTCAAGCCCTTTGAACACAAGCTCTTGGCAGAGTTCAATTTTCAGTCTCTCTCCCACATGTTGCAGGCACTTCAGTGTACCAGCATTGCAAAGATGAATTGCAAATATTTTTATTTGCGCATTTTTTTAGCAAATATGATAACCCCCATCAATTCAGAATTTTAATGACATACAGGATAATTTTTAATTTATATTTTAATATTTTGTATATTAAAGTTTATTCTTTGAGATTTCACATGCTTATGAGATATATTTTGATCATGTACACACCCACTCTTGCCCTTCCAACTCCATCCACGTCTCCTTCAGTTTCCCCCCAACTTTATTTCCTTTTTTTTTAAAAGTTCACGAAGTCTAGTTAGTGCTGCTGCCATGAACGTCCAC